GGGCTCAGGCAATCCACTCACCTCAGCCTCCCAAAGGCGCAGGATTACAGGCTGAGCCACCAAGCCCGGCTCTCTCCTGGCTTTTATTCTAATTTTTCTTCCATCTCTGGACTGAATCCTCTGGCTCCACAGAGGCCTGGCTTGTCCAGGACTTGAGGGTGGTGGGGTGGGGATGGATCTTGGGCTCACCTTGAAGTAAGGAAAGTGCTCCGTCATAAAATTGTAGATCTCGCTGACAGGAAGGCTCCCAGTTTTACTGTTCTTAAGGGCCATGAAGATGAGGATGCTGAAGACAAAGAAAACTCCTGAGAGTCTGCACTTCTGAGCAGGTCCTAAGCCCACCCAGCGTCCCCCACCCCGGTGAAAGGCACTTTGAGGTTGGAGATGAAAGGAAAGGGGATATTTCAGAAATATGAAGGTCTTGTGGAATCTGAGAAGCCTGGGTTGCCCTCCTAGCTTAGCTCCTCCTCGCTGTGTGACCTTGGGTGAGTGTCTTAACCTGTCTGAGCCTCAGTTTCCTCAACTTTGAAGTGAAGAAAATCACAGCCACCTCATAGTTGTGAGGATATAGGATGATGTCTAGCACATAGAAGGTACTCATGAAACAGAAGCTGGCATTACTAGTCAGTCCTCAGCCAATTGCAAACGATAGCAGGAAGGGGAACTAAGGTCTCTTGAGTCCCTACAGTGTGCCAGACATGGGACCTACATTCTCTTGCTTACTCCTGCCAATAGCCTGAATTGCTGCCCCATCTCCAGACCTTTTTTCTTTTTTTCTTTTATTTATTTAAAGTCAGAGTCTCACTCTGATGCCCAGGCTGGAATGGAGTGGCACACTCATGGCCACTGCAGCTTCAACCTCCTGGGCTCAGGTGATCCTTCTGCCTCAGCCTTCCACGTAGCTGGAACCACAGGTGTGTGCCACCACAGTTGGCTAATTTTTTTGATTTATTGTAGAGACGAGGTCTCACCAGGTTGCCCAGCTGGTCTCAAACCCCTGGGCTCAGGCAATCCTCTCGCCTCCCAAAGTGCTGGGATTACAGGCATAAGCCACCGTGCCCGGCTTATTTTGTTTATTTATTTATTTATTTTGAGCTGAAGTCTCACTCTGTTGCCCAGGCTGGAATGCATTGGCACAATCATGGGCACTGCAGCCTCCATCTGCTAAGCTCAGTTGCTCCTTCTACCTCAGCCTCCAGAGTAGCTGGATCTACAGGTGCATGCCACCATGCCTAGTTAATTTTTTTATTTATTGTAGAGATGAGGCCTTGCCAAGTTGCTCAAGCTGGTCTTGAACCCTTGGGCTCTAGCAATCCTCTTGCCTTGGGCTCTAGCAATCCTCTTGCCTTGGCTTCCCAAAGTGCTGGGATAACAGACATGAGCTACTGGACCCGGGTCAGTCATTTTAAGCAAGAGGAATAAGCAGAGGTTCAGAGAGATTAAGTAACTTGCCTGAGGTGTCACAGTTAGTAAATTCTAGAGCCCGGTCTTGAACCCTGTTCTGCTAGGCTCCAAGGCCAGCAGGTGCTCCTTTCTATGCATTATCCTGCCTTTTACAAACTCCTCTGTGCTCCTTGCTGAGGTCTAAATTCCTCTTCCTTGCCCTGAGCTCATGCAAGCTGATAACCTGACCTGATGTGGGACCTGGCACACATCAGGTAAATTGTCACTGTGGTTGGATGAATAAAAGGACAGATGGGAGGGTCTCCCAGACAGGCTGGGTCTGCTGGCACTTAAGAACCCAGCCCCAGACACGTCCCACCAGGTGGGGCAGAGGTTAGAAAACTGAGTCATATCTGCAGGCCTTGGCTCTCATTAAATTCCAGATCTTTGGAGTGGGGCTTCTCTCTCTATCCAGGGAGAGGGAAGGCAGGCAGCAAGCATCCTTGCTAAACTCTCAGACCCAGGCCCTGGGCCCCAGGAGGTTAGACCTCAGCAGGCTCACCCCAGGGTACCAGCATCTACTGAGTCAAACCACAGATATGACTCCCCAGGGTTAGATGAAAGGTGAGAGGCAACCCTGTCTATAACCCTGCCTCCATGCAGGAATCCTCTCTCCAGAAGCCCACTGGGTATGACTTCCATCCCTTGCCCTTAGCCTTATGCCCAGAGGATTCCATGTGTCTCGGTGTCCCCAGAAGCCCTCTTACCCCTCCTCCTTCCACCCAGGAGTGCTGGGAAACATACCTGTAGGAGTAGATGGGTTTGGGGAAGAGAGGCTGGTGCCCATCATTGCTGGCCTGGGGTGCAATCCGCTGGTATGGATAGTGTGAGGAGCCCAGGTAGGGCACAGGGTAGCTGCCGCCACCTGGTGGGTACTGTAGAGGTCAAAGGGGGCAGAGTGATTGTCGTGTACCCAGCCTTTCCAAGGGGGGACTTCCCTCCCCCACTTCATATACATCCAGAGAAGGAGCTCAGACCAGATTCTTTCCCTAGTCACCGGCTCCACCACCCCCGTGGCAGAGATGTCCCAGGGGCCTGTGAGGAAGTTCAGCTCCTGGAATTCAGGATCTCAGAGGCCTCAAAGCTCCTTTCCCCTAGCTCCTTCTTCTCAGCCCTTTCAGACCTCTGGTTGCCATGGCGATGGGACCTGGGCTGGGGAGTATGAGGGGAAGCCTGGGGCCTGGCATCCTCCCAGGCCTCCCTTGCCTCTCCTGCAGTGACTGGGCCGGAAGTGGGATGTCCAACCTGGGCGTTTGCTGGGCACTGGCACCTTTTACGAGTTTCAGTGGCTCTTTGAAAAGGCTGGTCACAGTGGTGGGCAGGTGGGGGTAGGAGGTGGTTTTACGGCAGAGGGAGTGGCTGTGGTGCCAGGGATGGTGTTTTATGGGGGAGGGGGTAGGAGCCTGACTCCCCCAGCTGCTCCAGGCTGAAGTGCTCTTTACAGGTCACCCGAGAGACATTTAGTGCCTGAGTCACCTCTCTCCAGGCTCCATAAAGCCCTGGGTGCGGCCATCTTGTTTGAGACGGGGTGCAGACTACAGAGGGCATCAAAGCAGGGCCAGGCATGGTGAGGCCATTTAAGGTCTGGCAGCCCCTCAGTCCTGCTGTGTGGCTCAAGTTCCTCATGGGCAGGTTCCTCAGGGACATTGACTACCCTGGATCAGACTATGAGTCCCAGGATAGCTTTGGCCATCTTAGTCAGGCCCTTCACGGCAGGGAGGACGCCCCTCCTGCATTCCCTTTGCTCCCTTCTCTCTCTTTCTTTCCCCTACATTTAGGCAGTCTGAACCCCCTTCCTCCTCTGCCTGCCTCCCTGGCTTGGCCAAGATCAGGGCCAATGCCAAGGAGCCGGGAGTAGAACCTGCTCCACAGGCAGGGCCTGTCTCAGTGCCAGGCTGCAGGTGGATGGAGCTGGGCCCTGGGCAGCCACTTGCTCCGTCTTGCCCGGCGACTCCCAGGAGCTGCCTGGCTGCTCTGGGGCTCTTCTTTTTCTCTTTCTAAAATCCTCAGTCCCAGGCCAGTATGGGGCAACCACTTGGCATGCTGTATGCTTGGGAGGAGCTGAAGCTAGGGGACGGGGAAAGGGTTGAAGATGACGTCCCACTTGGGGCCCTCCAGGTGGGAAGGCCCCTAACCCCAGCCCTGGTGCCCACCCTCTCTCAAGGCTGCAGGGAAGTTTGGGGCCAAGGTCACACAGCAAGATGGTGGCTGACAGATGGGAGCCCTGTTCCTTGTCCTGCTCGGCCTTGTGTGTCACACCACACACTCCTCTCTGCCCCTCTCTCTGTCTGAGATGACTCCCCTCCCCCCTTCCTTTTTGGCTCACATCATGGCCTTGTCTCAATCTCAGCTCCACTCTCTTATCTGAGACCTCTCAGGCCCTGCCAGGGACTCAGACAAGCCCACCACAAAGAAGGGCAATGGCTTCCCTCCCTAGTAACCAGGAACCACTGCCCCCCGCCTGGGGTGGCCCAGCCTGAGGCTCAGGGCCCTGCTGCCCTCACCTGCCCACCCAGGTGTGCACAGCACCCACATAGACGCCCACACACCACACAAACACACGGTATCCCGAGACCCCGGGGAAGCATGCCCACTTGCTTCAGACCCACCTGGTGGAAGGGGGGCTGGGAGGGGCAGTACATGTGCTGCAAGGGGGGCTGGTAGCAGTACATCCCAGGACCACTCTCCAGAGAGGGCTTGACCTTGACCTCCGACCCCTGCTGGAAGAGAAAGCAGATTTTTTTCCCTTCCTCTTTCCCATGTCCTGAACCTTACACAAAAACAACCCCTACTCCCTACTCTGCCTCTCCCGAAGTTTATTCCTGGAGAACAACAGAGAACAGAGAAGAGGGGGTTTTCCCCAGGGAACTCAGCAATGTAGTGGTGGAACCGGGCCTGGAAGTGACAGCACTTCCTACCCCTCACCTCATTGCGGGTGACAGGCTGAGACTGGGCTGTTGCCAGAAGTTGGGGAGACTTGTCAGTGGTTGCACTGGGGCTGGGTAGGGCCAGAGATCTCCTGGAATGGCACGAGGGGGCAGTGCCTGACCCTACTCACCAAGCCTGGCTTGGAGCCTGCTTGCCGGTTCAGAGGCCCCAGCATGCAAAGAACACCCGGAAGAGGCCACAGTTCCAGAATTCCCACTGAGGAGCCAAGGTGAGGGGAGGAGGGGTAGTGGCCAGATAGGCTGGGCGACTGTGGCCCCAGGTGTCTGTTATTTCTGCTTTTGGACAACCCCGGGAAGCTCCAGCAGGCTCCCTGGATGGGGTTAGTGAGCCCTCTCTGCTCTGCCTCCTGGCCATCCCCAACCCAGAGCTTTTGCTCCCTGCTCCAAGGATCCAGTTCCTGGTCTGCGTGAGCCCCATGTGCTTTCTCACGCTGGACACAGGGAGCCCAGACTCTGGCTTCCCATGGATTTGAGACTCACATGTAGTCCTCAGGGCCTAGCACAGAGCTCTCCCCTGAGTAGAGGCAGGGGGTGTGTGCGGCTGGGCCCTGGAAGGTGGACACGACCAGGAAGAGGTGGACCACTCTTCCTGGGGTTACCAGGAGCCTTGAGAAATCAGCATCCAGGCCCAGAGGGGCAAATCAGTTGTGACCTCTTTCTGGATGTACCCTGGGGTTGCTGATGCAAAGATTGACATAATCACAGAATCTCAGGCCTGGAAGGGCCAAAAGCTCTTATGTCCAACCCCTTCATTTGACAGATGATAGGGCTGAACCCAAAGAGGGGAAGCGATATGCCCAAGGTCACCCAGCAAGTTGACCAGACAGCTGTGTGTCTGGAGCTCTTTTCCACTGTGTGGGATGGTAAGGGTGTGAACTCAGTCTCAGCCTTACCATTGACAGGCTGGGAGACACATTGGGCTAGTCACTTGGCCTCTATGAATCTCAGTTTCCTCACCTGCAAAATGGGGATAGTGGAAACTCTCTAGAGAGTTGTGGGGGGATTAAATGAGGTCCTTGAAAGAAAGGCCCTGGCAGAATGATCAGGAGTTTTTGTTAAGTGGACATTTGCGAGCAGTGGCTAAGATGACGGTGCCCTCACTGTGGGCTGCTGACATGCTCAAAGGACTGAGAAGAAGCCATCAAAGGGCTGCAGAACCAGAATGAGGTCCCGTCTTGACCACACCTGGCAGGTGCCTCTCTGCCTTCTCTATCTTCCTTCTAAGCCTTTCTTGGGCATGGTTTGGGGTTGGAATGGGCAGGGGTCTGTTTGAAAGAAAGAGGTGCTAGGAGTTTGAGACCAGCCTGGGCAACATAGTGAGACCTCATCTCTACAAAAAAAAAATCAAAAAATTAGCCAGGCTAAGGATCGCCTGAGCCCAGGAAGTGGAGGCTGCGGTAAGTCGTGAACCTGCCACTGCACTCCCACCTGGGTGACAGTGAGGCCCCGACTCAAAAATGAAAAATAAATAATAAAATAAAATAAAATCAGAAAGCAAGAGGTGAGGAGGTGAGGAGGTGAGGAGGGCTGTAGTGGGCATCAGGAGCAGGAATAGCCCAGGATAAGTCCCCTCAGTCACTGCCTCAGGGAACTTTAAACCAGAGCTGGGAGCAGGGAGCAAGCTCCCTTTGGTTTTTGTCTTCCTAAAGCAACCCTCCTATGAGGCAGGTACTATTTTTTTTTTTTTTTTGAGTTGGAGTCTCACTCTGTCACCAAGGCTGGAGGGCAGCAGTGCGCTCCCGGCCACCGCAGCCTCAACCTGCTGGGCTCAGGCGATCCCTCCACCTCAGCCTTCCAAGTAGCTGAAACTACAGGCATGCAACACCGTGCCCAGCTAATTTTTTGATTTATTGTAGAGATGAGGTCTCTCTAAGTTGCCCAGGTTGGTCTTGAACCTGTGGGCTCAGGCAATCCTCTCACCTTAGCCTCCCAAAGTGCTGGGAGCGCACAAGTCACAGTGCCCCACTAGACAGGTACTATTAAGCTTACTTTTCTTTTCTTATCTTTTTTTTTTTTTTTTTTTTTTTTAATTGGAGTCTCACTCGGTCGCCCAAACTGGAGTGCAGTGGCCGCTCCCGGCCACCGCAGCCTCGACCTCCTGGGCTCCGGCGATCCTTCCGCCTCAGCCTTCCAAGTAGCTGGAACTACAGGCACGCGCTACCACGCCCGGCTAATTTTTTATTTATTGTGGAGATGAGGTCTCGCCAAGTTGCCCAGGTGGGTCTCGAACCTGCGGGCTCAGGCAATTCACTCACCTCAGCCTCCCAAAGCGTGGGATTACAGGCTGAGCCACTGAGCCCAGCTGATGCTTACTTTTCCAATGAGGCTCAGAGAGGTTAGGTGACTTGCCCCAGGTCACACAGCTTGGGGAGACTGACTGAAAGGACATGTTAACCTTCTATGAAGGTTTTTCTATGAATACACCCAGGCCCCATTCTGTGCAAAGAATGAGGCTAGAAAGACCCCTCAAGAAGACTTAAGTCCACTCTCTGCTGAGGCTGGAGAGGGAAAATCCCTTTCTCTTGGCCTCTGGAATGTGTTTTTCTTCTCACATTTGCATATGGGCGTGTAGGTCTGGCTGGGGATTCTTGACACTTAAACAAACAGAGAAGTCACACACAGGAATCCTGACTCAGGAGCCTCTGGGAAGCTGCCAGCTTCTTTAGCCTGACATGCCTCCCACCTGATCCTCTCCATACCAGCCAGGACAGCATCCCCTCCCTAGCTGACCCAGAGGCCCCGATTCTTGTTTTTTTTTTTTGAGTTGGAGTCTCACTCTGTCACCCACACTGGAGTGCAGTGGCCACTGCCAGTCACCGCAGCCTCGACCTGCTGGGCTCCGGCGATCCTTCCGCTTCAGTCTTCCAAGTGGCTGGAACTACAAGCGTGTGCTACCACGCCTGGCTCATTTTTTAATTTTATTGTAGAGATGAAGTCTCGCCAAGTTGCCCAGGCGGGTCTCGAACCCACGGGCTCAGGCAATTCACTCACTTCAGCCTCCCAAAGGCCTGGGATTACAGGCTGAGCCACCGAGCCCGACTTAGGCCCCGATTCTTTGAGCTTGATGCTCCCTAGTGCACACTGATCTTTTTTTTTTTTTTTTTTTGAGTCTGGAGTCTCACTCTGTTGCCCA